CATGGTGACATCATAACTGAGTTTTCCCCTTAAAATTCAAAGCCCAAAATACAAGTATTACTTTCTCCCTATGTACATTCCAGCAAAGCAGTCAGCATTCCACGTTGGCTTGGCCAAAACAATTTGTGACATAAGTATGCATTTTACAGCGTCACTCTGCTGTTCCCCCAAATCTAAACTTAATAGTCTCTTTTTTTCCTGCAGATGGCAAGACACACAGAATAGAGGAAGTAGTCAAATGCAAACTGGTGGAGGCAGAAACAAAAGCATCTGGAAACTTGCAGTTTTATAAGGAAAAAGTTCCAAATTGCCATTTACCTTTGAAAAAGGAGGCTGTGGGCAGCCACGAATTAAAGAGCAACAAAAAAAGAGCTTTGGCTGAACAAGAGAGAGAAAGGACTTCCAAACAGAAGCATCTGTGCCTCACTGTGGAGGACTGGGATTTGTTAAATACCTACTGAGTCAGAAAGAAGTGGGTCTTTTGTTTGTTGTTTTCTTGCTGATGACAGAATTTAGGCACATTGAGAGGGGGAAACAAAGGAGACTGGTATTGTTAACTCTGGCTGCTGTGATGGGCTTGTGGGTTAACCTATGCTTGGGGAGGGGGAGAGTCAAGGAGAAGGTTGATGATACTACTGTATATTTTCAATACATAATAATTTTTTCAAATAAAGCTTTTTGTTGTCATCCTTAACTCATTCTTCTGACAGAGGTTATTATTCCCAAAATAGCTGGTCCTATCCCTCCTCCTCTCTGGCATCCCAAGGGGCAGAAGACTAACCACTGTGGCTCATCTGAAATGAAGCTGCACTGAGCTCCTCAAGTGTCCTGGGACATCAGTAGTGCTGGTAGAACATAAACCTCAGCCTGTAGTGCTGGTTTTGCTCTGACAAAGGGAAGAAGCAAAGAGGATAAGCACAGGCCCCAGGGGAGGGAGACAGAGAGACAGTAACCCCTCCAGAAAGCTGAAGTAGAACAGAAATCCCCAATCTCTCTCATTTTAGCCCAGGAAATGAAAATTGAAACTGGGTTATTATAGAGATTAGACTCCGCAGTTGGAGTAAAGTTTCCCTTATAAGTGAATTCACTGCATGTAAGAGCATTCTGTGGTTTAAAAACCATTCTCAGTGCCTGAAGTATACCAGCCGTGCTCCCCTACCTAAAACCAGGGAACATTTATCATTCAAATACGAATTACACATATTTGCTGTAAAAAAACGAGACATTCAAGGCCAGGAGTACAGCTGTAGTGACTCAGGTGTGTTTATCATCCTGTCGTTAGTGACAGGACAAGGGGAAATGGCTTTTAGCTGAAAGAGGGGAGATTTAGATTAGATATTAAGAAGTTCTTCCATGTGAGGGTGCTGAGGCGCTGGCACAGGGTGCCCAGAGAAGCTGTGGCTGCCCCATCCCTGGCAGTGCTCAAGGCCAGGTTGGACACAGGGGCTTGGAGCAAGCTGCTCTAGTGGAAGGTGTCCCTGCCTGTGGCAGGGGGTTGGAACTGGATGAGCTTTAAGGTCCCTTCCAACCCAAAGCAGCCTGGGATCCTATGATCATCAAATTCCTGCTCCGAGTGTTTCTATCAAAACTGGCTGAGGTGCACAATGCCCATGAGTTGAAGAGAGCAACCTCATTCTGTTTTTAGGCTGCAAGGCCAAGAATTTACTACAGGTCTCCCCTATTAGTACTTATTTAGAAGGTATCTTCCTTTTACACTGCTGTTCACTATAATTTGGCAACAAGAAAAGCAACACATCCTTGGAAATCATGAAGAGGCCAAGAAAAGGGTCTTCATCTCAAAGATGCATAAAAAACTAACCCCCTTTCTCTCTTTGCTCTTTTACTGCTAAACTTTCCTCACAAAAAAGGACTACACACAAACAAAACACTCAGACTTGCATTCCAGCCCTACATTTTTTCCCCAGAAACAAGTCTATTAATAGCTTCCACTGACAACTGCATCAGCTCTCTGCAGAGACAAATAATGGCACTAGTAGTGACTTAGCAAAAGAGCCTCTCAACAAGGAGGAAGATGAGCGTGGCCCTCAAACATAACCCTCCTCCTGCAGCTGGCTTGTGGTTCCACAGCCCCCATGGATTGCTTTTAGTATCCCCTCCACCACTGTGGAGATCTGCTAATCAGACCATGGAGAGATGCACATCTCACAGTCCTATACTCCACATCAAGTAAAGCAGCTGGGAGCAGATGCCTTGAGCTGGAAAACAGGCACATTGTGATTTGACATCAACAGTCTGCCCAGTTCACAGGCTTGGTAGTAAACCAATACAGAACACCCTTCCTTTTCAGAAGAGGTGTTCTAGAGCACTGTGTTCCTTCTGTTCTTCACCCCTGCTGCAATCATTCCTTTCCTTAGGTTTCTTGCTTTCAGCAGCCTTGCTCTTTTAAACACACCACTGTATGAATTTTATTCTAGGAAGACTTAGACACATTTACTGTGGCCTCAACCTACTGATCTCTGTGTATTGCTCTCTGTAAGGCACACAGTCCCCGCTGACCAGGAGCAAGGCAGTAAGTAAGAAAATTACAGGAGGGGACTCACCCTTCAACAGATAGGCTCAATCTATCAAGCCCCCTGCTGTATCCCTGGCTGTTTCCAGGCTGGCTTCTGCATCTTGCTGCCCATGGACTGTTGCTGCTTCCCCTGCCTCTCTCAGGTAGTCTCTTCACAGGCATAAATGCAGAGCAGGATGAGTCCCTGCTTCCTCTCTCCTAACCTGGGGCCATAAATCACAGCCCTGGCCTCGCAGGAGCGCTCACTATGAAGTGATACAGGGATGTCAGCCTGAGAGCAGCCCTGGGGCTCTACCCTGCAGGCACCAGCTCCTCTGACACCAGCAGAACTTTACTGGCTATCTTAGCTGCAGAGATCACGTTCCTGACCCCATTTCTTTGGGCTCAGCTCAATTACAAAGCTGAAAGATAACAGAAAGGGAGGTGACAGCCAGGGATATCCTCCACGTGCCCTAAGCCTGCCTCTGTTTCCATACCTTCCTGCTGAAGGAGAGAGGACGTGGCACAATAACCTTCCCTGCCTTAAGCCAGGCATTTGCCTTCTTTATCATGTCTCACAATAAAGTAAGAATTCCCAGACCCCAACATCATCCCCAGCCAGCCAAGGCAAGCCACCGCTTGACCTCTGCTGCGGTGAAGCTCCACATAGCAAGCACAAGCACTTGACTCCCCATGCTTACACATTGCATGCCCCAACCCTTTCCTTTTCACCCTCAGGAACATCTTAGAACTTGGCAATGATCAACAAATACTGGACTGGGAGAATACAGCAGTTGCCATATGGATCAGCCTAACCAGCATCCTCTTCCCAACCACAGCAAGCATTGGAGGATCCAGAAAGCCATGGCTATCCCAGTATCTTTGATACAAAGCATAGGGGGGTTTTACCAATCATACTGGCTGGGCCCTATGCTATAGAAGCATGCAGCATCGCAGTCCACCTGCCCCTACCAGTGGAGAGGGCTTGTTGCACATCCTCCCACTTCAAAGCCAAGGAGCAGGCAAACAGCCCGTGCCTGAACTCAGAGTGAATCAGAGAGCAGCTCTTCTTCCTCAGAGTGGCTGAACCAGCAGCTCTGCCCCTGAATTCCCCCTCCTTGAGCTCCTCTTTGGGTTATTAAATGTGGCTTTCAGGGTTTCCCACAGTACCAGTTCCATAACGCAGAGATTTGCCATCTCATTCCAGGTGAAGTATGAGTCAGAACACTGTAAAGCTATTTTTAAGAGGTCTCTTATCTACAGCTGCATCCCAGTGACAAATCAGAACATTCACCATTGATACCGGTCACGGGGACCTGCAGAGCTGCAGGTCACAGGACAGAGGGGAAATGAGTGAACAGGGGGCTATTTTTAAAGATCCATGACCTGGGATGGTGGTGGGGAAAAGCTCCCTTGGTGTTTGTTTGGGGCCTAGGAAAGTAAATGCCCTCACTGTAATGTGGGGTTTTCTCAGAGGTGATGTTTTAGACACAAATGGGGTTGTCAAAGGAGCAGAGAAAGACTTTCCTTACATTTCAGTGGCACATCCACATCTATATCCTTGCAGGTTTGGCTGCCTGATCCTCCTTTGCTGGCACAGGAACCAAACAAGCCATGCACAGACCCCAGTGTCACCCCATTCTGCCCTGGGAGCAGCACTCGGTTTTCTCCTGCTCCCTGCTCAAAGGCTGTGCCTTTTCCCCCTCCTTTCTTTGCCAACTCCAGTGCAAACGCACCCCAGCCCAGGCTGTTCTCACCCTGCTAAGCTGCTGCTCCAGAACAGCGCAGCCCTGAGAAGCGCATTTTACGCACGTGCTGGTTCCTGCCCTGGCTTGCAGGGACAGCTACACCGGGACACAGTGATTTACCCCCACAGACCCTGAAACCCCTCCAGTGTTCCTTGCCACGACACTCGTATTGGCCTCCACATGCTTGAGAAGAGCACAGGAGGTGGGCTCTGCAGCAGCTCTCCGCGGTGCCATCCGCACAGCGCTCCCAAGGAAGCATCCTGGGAGCACCAGTGCAGATCCTTCAAAGCTGCTGCTGAAACCATCTGCGGACACAAGCACAAGCTGCTCCTGCCCGTGAGGATCAGAAGTGTTGAAGATGTGTTGAAGGGAAGTGTTAACCCAAGGGCTAGAAAGGCTCTCCTCACCCAGCTCCTCAACGTGCCTTCATCTGGCTGCCTGCAAAGGCACCAGCACGTCCATACAGGAGGAGCTCCTTGCTCTGGGCTGTCCAGACACAGCATCTGTGTTGGCAGAGCTGGTAAACAGTCTCCAGAGCTGGCACACAACCCACTGAGTCAATGCTGCAAGACAGTGCTGTGCCCACGAGGAAAGGACTCACCCTCACATAAGAGGAGGCCCCTGAGGGTATCCCCGCAGCCAGCATCCAGCCTGCAGCACGGGCTGCCATAGCATTTCATCCCTGTTAAGTGTCATTATGCTGCTATTGAGGGTTTGCAAGCAGGAGGACAGCGAGGCGTCAAGGTGACACTGCAGTCCGTTCACGGGGTGCAGACGTACTCATCGGACCAGTCCAGGCAGTGCTGGATGCCGTCCCGACACAGCCTCCGGGGGATGCAGGAGCAGTACTCATAGAGCACAGGGCTGCAGCTCCACCAATCCCACCCGCACAGGGGGCAGGCAGCCGCTGGGAGGGATGGAAAACAGGGAACAGGAATGCTTCTGCTGCACTGACCCCTTCCTTCCCTCCTTACGCTGGTAGCCACCCTTCCAGCCCCTGCAGCTACTGAAGAGCCACTGGTGATAACGCTGCTACTGTGAACCCAGCAAAGGGGACATTTGCTTGATGCTATTGTGGGAGACAACCACGGAGCGTGGCAATGCAACACAACCTTCGTGGCAGACGTGCCATCCTGGGAGGAACAGCTAGCTGTAATGGATTTCTGTTTAGCAAGCTGCTCTAGGGAGAGCTGCTGATGGATCAAAACCAGGGGGGTGACTTAGGAACAAACCTGCTGCTCATCTGACCAAGAGAAGGATCTAGGTTGCTGGCTTTGGAGCTGCAGAGGCACGCTCAATCCCCCCAGCTCGCCCCTGTACCCATCTCCTGAGCAGTAACTAAAGGCCAGTTTGAACGGTCACTGCTGCCTACAGCTGCTCATCGTGATGAAACTGCTCCATGCTCAGCAAGCCACAGAGGAGGAGCGACTTTTGGGCCTGGGAACAAAGCACGGAGCCTTTCCCCTCTCGATTGCCACCAGGCTTTGACACAGAGCTCTTGGCAGCTGATGGGATGGAGCCCTCATGGTTCATACATCCTACCCCGGCTATTTAGTGCTTTAGCAATGGATGCCAGCCTCCAGGTGTTTCCAGCAGCACCAGTGAGCACCACACCAGTACAACCCGTCTCAATCTATCAGCAGGAGAGACCTTTTCCCCAACAGAAGCCGGACGAGAGACTCACAGCTCCCAATCTCATCCGAGCAGTCTCCGCAGTCGTTCATCCCATTACACCTCTTGTCGGCATAGATCCAGTACTTGGGGTTACTGCAGGGGAAAACCAGGTATCCTGGCAGGCTGCGGGGCAAGTCACCTGCGAGGGACACACGGGACATGGATGCGCTGGCTGACATGGGGATGGCAGGTACCAAAGGCTGCTGACATCGGAAGGGGTAGTCAGCCCTTCCCTCGTGTGATGTCCAGGTGTGAATGACCCCGCAGATGGGAAAAGTGTGGTTGGGGAGGGAAAGGCACACTGCGGCTGAGCTGGAAGCAGAGTCTGGGTGCCCCAGGCTTCTGCTTTAGTGACTTTTACCAGGGTAACTGGACAAGAAAGGAACCCTGTAGGCAAACAGCTTAACCAAGGGGGGAGAACTGCACCATGGGTTAGCGGCATTCAAAAGGGAAGATCAGAGGAGCTTGGAGTGCAATTCCCGGTAGGATTTGGGCAGTGCCACCTCTCAACATCCGCCCTACAAAGGATCTACCAGGTTTATCTGCTCACGTACGCAGCCAGAAGCATGGAGCAGGGTTAGGGGGACAGCGGCTGCTCTGCCTCGCAACAGGAACACCAACACCGGGATACAGCCACAACAGAGCCACTCACCACAGAGCATCTCCTGCTCATCCTCCCCGTTCCGGCAGTTGCTGGCTCTGTCACAGACCTGGCTGGCAGGGATGCAGGCAGCTCTGTCGTCACACAAGAAGCCTGTCCGGTTGTTGGAGGCTGTACAGAAGCGGGTCACTGAAAGGAAAGCAAGAAATACTTTATCTCCCATCATTTCCATGGTGTGATCAAGGGAGGAAAAGGGGGATTTGTGAAATTCACTTGTTGTTCTGGAAGTGAACAGGAGCCAGGGTTAATCTGTGGTTGGTTCATGGCAGAGTCTGAAAACAGTACCAGTCATCTGAAGTGCCATCCAGAGCTACCACAGCCCTATGGAGCAGGACAGCAAAGGGCTGGTGATGATTCAGGCTGCGCAATGCCGGCACAGCCCCACACCACCCTGCTGGTCCTTGTCCTTCCTCTAGGTCTGCACCGGAAAGCATCACCTCACAGTGACGGACACGAAGGCTCTTTCCATGCAACATCATTTTCTGCCTCTCCTAACAAAGAAATAGCAGCTCTTGTGATACCAACCTGGTGCCCGTGGCCGGAGCCCCAGTGCCACCGCCAAGGCCACGGTGGCAGCGAGGATGAGCAGTGCCACAGCAGAGATGCAGACACACTTCTGCGTGCAGCCTGCGCGGGCACCGCATGGCCGGCAGCAGCCTGTTGGGAGGCAAGAGCAAGAGGTGAGGGGCTGGGGTTGGGTCCAATAGGGTCATCGGGAATAGCACAAAGCCATGAGGGTGGTGTTTTGGGGTTCTGGCAGGGGCTGCTGGGGTTTAGGGCTTGATAGCCGAGTTTTGATAGCCAGACTCCGACATTAAACACCTCCTCATAAGGAATCTTGATGCTTGCAGTGTGGAAGAGCCTGTGCCGCTGTTATGGAGCACTGGAACCAGACAGCGCAAACGCTGCTGTTGGAGCTCACCCAATGCACTTGGATGCAGAAGAGGTGAGAAGACCAAGCCCCTGCCTGACCCAATGGGTCAGCAATGCCCTTTTCAGCAGCCAAAACACAGGGCAGGTCAGTGTAAGGCTGGGACAGGGCCCTCCCAGAGCCCACAGCAAAACTCCAAGAGGTAAAATTCCATTTTACAGCTTTTGGGGCTTTCTGCCCCAACCAGGGCTTCAACACCCCCACGGAGCAAGGCTGAAATATCAGCTCACACTGGTCACAACAGGCCTAAAAGCAGCCCATCCCCTCCCAAAGGGGTACAAAAGGCAGCAGCAAGCTTCCAGGAGCTCCAGCTATCATAAAGTCACGTTCATAAATCAAACCAAATCTGGAAGCTAAAGGCCAAACCCAGAGTCAAAGGCGAGTGAAGTGTGCACAGAAAGGGGACAAAAATCAGTCTCGATAGGCCATAAATGCTGGTTGTATTTTACATTACATAGGTAGTTTCAATGGATTTATAATTTAATAATAGCAATGCTGAGCTCTGTATTTTATTCATTACCTTTTTCTTCAGAGAAGGATTTTGTTGAACCCCAAGTAGCTACATCACCATTTCTCTAGAAGGAAAGGGACGACAGACTGTTACCATGCAAGGAATGCCTTTCTAGTTCTCATACCATCTTACCCAGGAATATATAATGCACTCCTTCTTTTACATGCAAGTGAAAATTGCCTTGGTGGAAACTCAGAAATGGCCCTGATTTAGTTCAGAAATCCATCAATCAGATCACCTTTAAATCTCAGTTTCCCATTTAGAAAACAAACACTAAAGCCCAGTCCAGCACCTTGCATCAATACTTCCCTTCTGTATCAGATTAAGTACAAACAGCTCCCAGCAACCAGCAGTAAAGAGGTCAGACAAACAGCACTACCAAGAGCACAAGTACTTTAGGAACCAGCTGCACCCAAGAGCTTTTCCAAAGGGAAGGACTGTACCTGAGGGTGAGTTTTGTTCATGCTTCCCAGACCTACAGCCCTCGCCCGAGCCTGAAGGATCACAGGGAGTTTTCTGCACCTCAACGTGAGCGGTGTTACCAGGATACAGACCCAACAGAGGTAGGAAAGCAAAGGGCGTGCAGGAGGGGATGGGGAAGGCTGCGCCAAGCCCGTGCTCCAGCTCTGGTTGGAAGTGGTGGTTTTGGTTTGCGTCTCATTCCTGCTGTGGATCCATTTTGGTTTCACAAGGGGGCATTAGGCAAAACATAAAGGACACAGATTTTGGATGCTGAGAATAACACTGCTGTTCCTCACACCAGTGTGGAAGATGAGGGCTCCCTCTTTGCTCATGAGACAGGTGCTGGTCAGAGCAAATCCCCCTTTCACAACGAAAGCCTGGGAGAAGAGCATCTGAACATAGATTCATAGAATGGTTAGGGGTGGAAAGAACCTCAAGCTCATCCAGTTCCAACCCCCATCTGCAGCAAGTCTCCTTCCTCCCCGCCTCTTTCCCAAGACAATGCTGACCTCCAAGCAGCATCAGCCCAGACTCACACAAGATGATGAGTCCTCTGCAGAGCTGTGCAGGATTCAACCATCTGGAACAGCTTCCCTGCCTGGGCAATGAGCACAGGCATTAATAAATCCTCCAGGAATCCTCTCTTTTACTTGCGTACGTGAAGGCCTGCAGTAATTCTTTAGCAGCTCAGCCCATAGCTAACATGAACATAAAAACAGGCTGCAGCCTTCTAAACTGGCTGCAGGGCTCAGCACAGCACACACACTGCAGTTCTGCAGCTTCGAGGGTAAAATGATGCGAGCAGGCAGCTCTGTCAAGGGGGTAGGAGGGAGAAAAAGCACACTGGCATCAAGGCTTTGAGGAGCCCATGTTGCTCTTGCTTGCAGGAGGGTCCACAGGCCTCAAGTGCCTCCAACCTGTTGCCACCTAAAAGATCACGATTACTCCTCAAGTGCTAGCAAACTAGCTTACCAGGGCTTCATAGGGGAGCTGGCAGCTATACTGCATGTAAGCTGGCCTTGAGACAGCTGCCCTGAATGGATTCAAAGGACCAGAGTATGTCTGACGTGGAGGAACAATCACAGCTACTTCCCTCTCCATCCCCACACAAACTCATCCTCAGTTTCATTGGGTTAATACATGCTCCCAGACAAGGGCACCTGCCAACCCTGCACTCCCCTGTTCAGACCAAATAGTCTTTCAGGAGCTCCTCCTTCAGCATGGCAACACCGATTTCAACAAAGCAGAAGCTTCTCATACGAATACATCACTAAAACTCTCCCATTTCAAGGGGAATTTTGGGGTGAAAACACAAAACACCAAGTAGCAAACAGTCTCCAAGTATGGACACTTGCTACAACACAGAAGAAGGGACAGATGAAGGGCTGAAACCTGTGCACCTTAAATTCTAGATCTCTTTAAAGAGAAAGGTTTTGGTTCTAATCTTGATACAGAAGGACTATTTTGAGCCTTCATACAGTTTATTAAGTGATGGTGAGCCTGCTACGAGTCCCATTCAAAAGCCAGGCCAGGCAAATGTCCGTGTCTGCCATCTATCACCCTCTATTTTTTTACACCAAGACTATAAAGCTCAGCTGTAGCCAGCCAGGCAGTTGTGTTTTAGAGCAGTTACTCCACATCAAAGACAGCTTATAGTTCAGAACAACGAGGCCATGAGAATAAGGTAAGAAACGCAAACCCTTCTGAAATCAAAGTAAGGATAGAAATCTTTGCCAAAGACCTAAGAAGCTGAAGAGGAGACACAGAGCAAGCTATTCAGTATGACAGGAGACTACTGCTAATTCTAGCACCTAAAGAAAACCCCAGTCCTCCCCAACGTACCACAGCTGCTTCTGCCTGCAATGCATAGCACACGCTTGAGAGGGCTGCCCATTTCAAATCTGATACAAGTTCAATTGCACACATGCCTAAAGAGAATATGAAACGCTTCCCCCCTGCAATCTCAGTAATTTAAAGCCCTTCATTTCAACAGTGGTCTTGAGCAGAGATCAAACCCCAACTGCAGCACCTGCAAATGAAGATGTCAGGAAGTGATTTAACAACAAATGAGTGGGACAGGCCGGTTTGCAAAGCCAAATGCCAAGGCAGCTGAAATAGTCCATTTAGGTTAGAAATCTCGGGAAGCAGCTCCATCACTGCAGCCTCGCTGGTATCTGATTTCACTGAGGGAAGATGACAAGAGCTTACACGTACACCACCGAACGAATTCTTCAGGCTCTGGCTGGCTCTCAAAGCAGAAGTGCCAAGTGACAGATTGCCACAGGCACAGTTCCCTGTGACCTAACAGCGTCACAGAATCACTGGCTTCACCGCGCAGATCACTTGGCTGAAATGTCATGAAACAGAGAACAAAAGGCAAAACACGTAAAACTCGAGCGTTCTCCCCTGGTGGCAGGCAGATACAACGCCAAATGGAAGCAGAAGTTGTTGAAGTCAAAGCTAGGAGTGTAAGCAACGAAGTCAAACCTTTTGGAAGAGAAAGCTTTGCGAAATCAAGTCATCAACACAAGGGAGGTTGTAACTGCACACATTTGAAACAGGCAAATAGCCATGTTTTCATGAAGCTGTAATACTCCCTCTGCAACTACGCGTAATAGTAAAGGAAAACATTTATACAGGCTTGAAAACACGTCTACGATAGCTCCTCACTTAGAAAAACTGGGATTGACAAAGTCTCTCCTGGAAAGGCAATCCCAAACAACACAGCGCTAAGGAGACGGGCAACAACTGCTGAAATAAAGCCCATATTTACACAGCAATCGCTGAACATCCGTGGCACACATCACACCCGACACTGCTCGAAGCAGAACACTGGCATGCCGCACCAAACCAGGGCTCTGTACTGAGCTTTCACTACCTGAGCAGAAATAGATGTCTTCGCTGAATCATTGCTGCAAGAGAGGGATTTCCCACCCCTGCTATCATGCAAGGGAGCAGTGTTCCAAACCCACCACACCAGCAGTCACGCTCGAGGCCTTTGCAGTAATGCCATGGTACACGCAAAGGTACCTGTCAGTGGCTGCTGGCACCCACATTTCTGAGCCACCACATTGTCCCACTGAAGAATTTAGCACGATGAGATACCACTCATGTAAGACTTCAAATTGCAAAGTCTGCACGTCGATAGAAGCCTCCTTAAAACAAGCATCACGCAGTGTGAACTCAGTAACATAAAACCCAGGGAGTGCTTCTGAGGGTGTCCAGCAGCACTGTGCAGGTACTAATGCACATTCCTGCTTAATGGCCCTGCAAAGCTCCATCCTCTATAGTTACACAACCACCAGCCCAATCAGGAATGACTACTGAACCAGTTTCAACAGAGAGGTAACGCACCACTGCATCCTCCAGAATCACGTAATCATAGAATGGTTTGGGTTGGAAAGGACCTTAGGACCACCAAGCTCTAACCCCCTGCCATGGGCAGGGACACCTCACACTAGAGCATGTCACCCAAGGCCTTGAACACTGACAGGGATGGAGCATTCACTATGGGCAACCTGTTAAAGTCCCTCACAGTAAAGAACTTCCTCCTTATACCTAACCTGAACTGCCCCTGTTCAAGTTTGAACTCATTTCCCCTTCAGTTCTCACTAAAATCCAAAACATGAGGACGTACTGCTTGAAGGTTTTTAAACCTTCAAGGGAATTCTGTACAATGAGCAAAATATCATGAGTTAGAAACCATGCATTCTAGCCAGCTTTCACATACTTAAGAGACCCCAAAATAATTCACATGCACTCCCCAAATCGCTAGTACTTTAGAAACCAGCACACAGTGATCTCCTCAAAGCAAAGAGCCACAAAGAACACGTCAGAAATACAAGGGATGTTGTTAGTAGTTGTGTTGGTGAATCATAGAGCAGAATCAGGTCATACCGCCATGAGAGGAACGCTACAGACAGGCTTTCACACCGAGTATGTGCAGTCAATAACTCACCATAGCAAAAAGCTATATAGTCAACATCTTCTATACAGTCAATTTTATTTGTCTGTTCTCATTTCTCAGGAATCACCTTGCTTCTGGAAATGAAGTTACAAGACCGGAGCAGTTAACCAAGAACAGAAGGAAGGATTTCTTCAGAAAACACAGGTGCTAACTTTACAAGCAATTTAAGACTTAAAGGCTAAAGTTTGACGAAGGAATTGACCATGGTATGTTCTCTGGGTGTGAAGGGATATGTCCATAGGTTTTAACAGAGTTCCATCTTCCACAAACCGAGTTCTAGCCTACAGCACCTCACAAACGTTTCCATCTTGGATATTGCCGCGCTGTAGGGAAACGAATATATATATATTTGTATTTTTGGAGCCAGGGTTGTCTGTGCATGAACATGAACAAAAATTCAGCAGATAGTTTTATAGTATTTTCTTTTAACTACAACAGAAAGTGCAACACTAAAAAGGCATCTCCTGCCTATTTAAAATGTCTTATACCTTTACAAAGCTAACTCTGAATGTACACGTTACATCCTAGAACACACAGACAGGTTGGAAAGTGTCATGGCAGAAGTATGGAAAGCACGCTTACAGGTTCTGTAAGCACAAAGACACGCAGCAAACACCAGTGAAAAGTGACTAGGTCTGGAAACAAACAAATTCAAGATGTCTGAATCTTGACTACTAGCTGAAAACAAAATCCCATGACGTGTGTTGATTCTGTAACTTTATTTGCATTTAAAGACTGGCTGCTAAGCTTCTTATCTGAAGAACCACCACAATCAATCAGGAGTTGCTAGCTCTGTTAGAATTAGTCTATTAGATCCAGTGGAGGCTTATTTAAATTGCTGATTGAGCCAGGTTGACTTTTGTAGGAAGAGGTCCTGCTTCTTCATGTTCCTCAGTCTTGCATCTAACGACAATGAGCGCAGAGGATGGGTATCTGTTCAGTTTTTGTTCATTCATGTATTCCAGATCTCCATAGATGCTCAGCTTCTGGAAGAGTGAAACAATTCAGTTTCAGACAAAGACTCTCCACACTGGGAATAAAATGCATTTCATTATACAACTTTATTCCTGGTGCTGATGGCTGCAGCCCTTCACTACAAGTGAACCCAGGCTTTCTCGACCATCTGAAATTCACGGCTAGCACAAGATTTGCAGCCAAAAGAAAGTATTAAATCTGTGAGAACAGCAGATACAGTGCCTGTGTAACACCAATAACATGCTGTCACTTCTGTTCTCACTACTGATCCTCCTGGATTAAACCCATGCTGCCTTCCACCTACACCACCCGACCCTCAGTATAGCTTCATTCCCAGAGAAATCAAAAGCAGCCTCCATTTGTTAAGAGTAACCTGAAGGTTGTCCAGAGGAGAATGCTACAAACCAAAAGACATCTGTGCTGTCTGAGTAAGGCTCAAAGCCCCCATCAGCCTCAGGAAGGAGGAAGAATTGCTCAGCTATAAAATCATCATTTAAATAACACACAAAGAAACACTCAACCTCTTTCCAGTTGAACCTCCCCAAATATTTCTTACTCTCTAGCCAGGAACATAAAAGTAATATCATTAATACAATAAAAACTATTATAAGTTATAAAATAGCAGTACCTCAGATGGAACATACTGCTCCACAGCTGTAGCTACAGTTGCACAACAAATCCAGAGCAGCACTAACACTGACAGGACGAGCGTAGTGGTTAAAATCCAACTGGAATTTCTGAAATGGAAAGAATGTTACTAGATTTCATATACTGAATGCAAGACAATGGAGCCTCTCAAAAGTTTGGCTCAATTTTGACTGTGTTTCCTGCTGATTCATTAGCCTCTAGCTCTTCCAGCTACACAGCCACTTCAGGCCCCTGGGTATTCTAATGCCTATTTAGTAGCTGACTTGAAAGACTTGCTGGATTCTTTTTATTGGGCCCATTTAGTTCTAAACCCAGATTTTTCTGTGACATATTTGGCATGCAATTCACCGAGCCTTCATGTGTGAACTCTGAAAAAGAAAGTAATCAGAGTAAAGGAAAGAAGAATCAACATACTGATCTTCAGTAAAGCTTTAATAAAGACACACTGGGTATTTTCAGCCTGCAAACGAGACATAACAGTGGCTTTCCTATCAGACAAGCCCAAAACAAAATACAAGTGTTTTGCCCTGAAACATATCCAGAGCTAAAGAACAGGCAAAACCCAGTTTTGATTAAACAGCTCACAGAACACACCCCAAAACCAGCATAGGAAATATAATGTTCACTTGAAAAGGAAAGGAGAACCAAAGTTGGCATAACAGCTTGCAAACATCATGGGGCCAGCACAGAAATGTAGCAGCAACAGACACGTAATTTTAACTGCTCTGCATCCTGAACCTAACAGACTTGCAGGACTTTGAGATCTTGCAACAGTGCCCCCATACAGGCAGAGGAAAGGCCACTATCCTCCTTACTAGGTACAGACATTCTAGAATATACATACATAGAGAGACACTTGAAAAAGCTGTCATTTGCTCGCTCTTCAAAAAGCCCTCTGTACGTCTGTGAGCTTCCTGGACGTAGGTCTGCTGAAACACAGCAGCAGAAACAGCAGTCAGGAAAGCAATAAGAGAGGAGATCGAAACACCACACAGTTTGTCTGTACAGAGAGCATAAAGGGAAGCTTTAAAAATGGCCCTAGCTTGCATGTTTCTATTTCCAGCAGAGCCTGTTTTCCACCACAGGCTTTGCTAAGTGTACACAGTACAGTCTGCATAGCAAAGAATTCTTCTATTTCAGCTTTCTAAAAAGTTAGCTTTCATGTGCCACCTGCAACTACTTTCCTGTTATTCTGCATGCAGGGAACATCTGCATTTGCTCTTCCAAAGCACAAAGAACAACTTACGAGCTGTTTTACTCAGCGGCAAGGATCCTCTTGTATCTCCAGTTTCCTG